ATGTTAAATAACACAACTTCGTTTGAATTCTGTGCAGTAGTGCCCTGCTTATAATATTAAATTGTACTTTTCAAATTGTATAATGCATGTTCAGTAAATGTGCAATAGAGATATGAAATACCATTATTTGGACTGTAACAATGAATGTACATTTCTATCTGAAAGTGATATAGATATCTGGTGATGCATAAACATTGTTGCTATTGACAAATGTTATGAACGAAAATGACGCCTATTGTTTTAGAACTAATTACAGAAAACAAATCTAATTTTATGTTAACAAATACTTTCATTTATTAATACCGAAATTAAATAAGTTTATTAACCCTTTGCACTCGAATGGTGACTCTGAGACACTAAAATTATTGTATGACGTTCCAAGATAATTTTTATATTAACAAAGTTTACATTTAAAACATTGTTAAAAGTGTAACTGTTGTACGAGTCATCCGAAGACTCAATTTCATATGCATAAAATGCACTTTGTTATATAAAATAAAATAGCTTCGAGTGCAAAGGGTTAATATTGTATTTAAGGTGGGTAATTTATAGTTCAATTCACATACTTCGATATAATTTTACATAATGAGTACGTCACAGTTCANATAAAATAAAATAGCTTCGAGTGCAAAGGGTTAATATTGTATTTAAGGTGGGTAATTTATAGTTCAATTCACATACTTCGATATAATTTTACATAATGAGTACGTCACAGTTCANTCTGAAGCGTAAAAGCGCCGTTGATTTTTATGAAATCGCCGGTGTCAATTTTATGATCGTGCATGATACGCGCGCAAATGCAGGAGTGTGCCACGGCTGCAATTCACCGGGAGCAGCTCAACGTCATTAATACTGAACCGGGACCACTGTAATGAAGAGGATAGAGAGGTGCACGAGATTCCTAGATCCGCTAATGATCGGTTTCTTAAATTGTCCCTTCTGAGCGAGAGCAATTTGCCACGACAAGTGGGACACAGCGGGGTGGATGATTGATAATTAACTACGCTGATTACCGCTATGGTATTCACACCACCGATCGACATTCAAATCTTTAGTAGGACAAGAGAGATCAACGATGACTCTCGTGCCCGATTTTCACCTGTCATTAGAGGTTTTCTAATCGCTGACTTTCGATCTCTGATTATCGTACGTAGCATGCAACGGGGAAAGGAAATTGCGTTATAATTGCGTTGAACTACTTTACAGTAGCAATAATCACCGTGGATCATCAACTTTTTATAGATTTAAGTTTGGAATTTCAATATTCATTTGAGCCGCGTTTATTTTGAAAGTGGCATAAGTCACTTTTTTCTTTTTTTTTTTAAATGAAAAGATACCGTTCAATTGTAATTAGTGTTACCATTAACTCGATTTTTTTGAAAAAGCGACTTATGCCACTTTCAAAATAAACGGCTCATTTGTTGCAATGAAATGTTCGTACACCTCCTAAAACGTAACAACTTTTTTAAAACTCAACTAAATGACTTGAATTTCTTTTTTTTTTAGATGATAGAGGGACTAGTCTACTAGACGATGATGGAAATGCCTTTTTCCTATTACTTGAGATGACAAAAAGAAAATTAAAAAACTCTCGTTTTTTAAACTTCTTTATCTGAGAGCTTATAATTGTATACATGCTGAAAATTTCATCGAAATCGGTTAACCCGTACAGCCTATGTAAAACTACAGATTTCTTCCAGTTTTTGATAAAAATCGTGACAAAACTGCGATTTTTGCCATATTTAATTTGTTGTAACTCGTAACAACGTGAACTGGTTTCGATAAAATTTTTAGCATACGAATAGTTACCGAGATCTACGAAAGATATTTTTTTAAATTTCTGTTTTAAGCTCAGATGAAAAAAAAGTTAAGAAACGAGAGATTTTTATTTTTTGTCACTCCAAGTAATAGCAAAATTAAAAAGAAANACATCTAAGTCATCTTAAATATAGAATAACAGTGTTAGAAAATTTTAGAATAATTTGTCGAAAACTAGAAA